TAATTTTAGGTACGTATTTTCCGAAAATAACGATTGAATTCTCGAGTCGAAACAGAAACCTAACGTTATGTATAAGAGTTCAGTTTGAAGAACAGTAATTGTAGATCATAGATGCCAAACATATTTAGTCAGCTGTTTGTCGGCATCGATCTGGAAACACAGAAACACACTTCAATGATCTGAACATCACAAATGGATGTCTATTTATCATAAATCATTATCTAATGTGAAATACATTATAGCTGGACAAAGAGAACATGTTGACATATTGAATTATTTGTGTAATATGACACTGCATGTATAGATATTGTTGATACTCTCGTTGAACATATGTGTCCATCCTGCAGCACATCATCTAGGACATGTTCCTGTTGATTTGTTTCACACATCCAGACAGTTTCAACACTGGGACGCATAGCTGATACCATATTTAGCATCGTGTCATGATGTGCAGAGAAAACCGACCAGTTGGACATTAACATAATTATATGTAAATGACAACGTGATGATTGAATACATTGTGTTTAACCCAAGCAAACACGTGCTGTGGTTAAATGTATCACCAATAACACCGATTCTGACGTCGACGTAGCCCAGATTTGACCACAAGGATTGAAGGATGAATTGGATAGTATGACCCGCAAAATCATCAGAAACCATCAGAAACGAACATCTAGCAATTTGGTACAGTGTTTCCGTTGAAAACGCATATGATTAGCTATGTATTTTCACTTAAATCATTGCTGTGGGGACAATAACGAAAAGAACTCTTGTATGAATCGTATTTTGAATAATCCCAAAAAATTCAACTTGCCAATGAAGATTTCAAAGAGCACCAAACGACGCTTGCTCAAAATTTGTTTAGTCAGGGTTAAAGCAGTCAATGCCTTATTAAAGCGAACAAAGGATTTGCATGCGGAGGACATGTTTCAATAGTCAACCCATCACTGACACAAATTATGTGAGATGCAGTTTCAGTTTTGGCTGTTTTGGTCTCATGTTTGTAAGGATAAACATAAACACCCATCATCCCGAGGCAAGTGAGTTAACTGACTATGCAAGTCAAGTTTCTACCTTTGCCGAACTAAGCTGGGATTTTTTCGGGCTCGATCGTACCGCCACTATCATTCTGACATCACTTGCATTTACTTTAAACAAATTGGAGGCGCCTGGTCAAGACGATATGATAATCAAGATCTATATTGTAATAAAACGGCTCTTACTTAGCGAAGGGCATCAGATCACTTGAGCACCTAGATAAAAACATGAAAAGATTTGGAACATATCTGTTGACGCTAAGTTAACTGTACCCATGCTGTGCAAATCCTTCAATCGACCGAAATCTACACGGCACTTTACGAACCGGGTGACGATTTCATAGCGCGATTTTGACCCGTTAGTCCAGGCAAAATACAATTAAATCATTCCAGCCTAGTTCAGGAAGGGTTGAAACTGGACTTTTATAGTCAGTCAACTCCCTTGACTCGGGAAGATGGCAAACACCTGATATCATCCTTATTTGATAGTGTCAAAAACACATGCTTATGTTAAAGTCGTGCAATGGACTCATGATTATGTTTAAGAGTTTTGTCGCTTTTATTTACACAACAAATCAATGGAAGTGGGAGGGGGATATAAAATGGTTGCTGTCCGTCCGTCCGTACGTCCGTCCATCCTTCCGTCCGTCCGTTACGTTTCCGGAGCATGACTGGAAACCCGTTTAATATTGTATTTTGAAACTTCGCATACATATCAAACACATGCTCAAACGGTGCCTTTTGATGTTTTGGTATTTCTAGAACAATTATGTTGTCTGTCTTTCCATGGCAACACACTTGATTTAGACGCAAATACGTGTAGCATTCGTATCTGGAGCATAACTCGGAAACCGTTAGTTATTTTATTATGACACTTTGCATGTGTTTCAAAAACATGCTGAACTGTTGCCTTTTGATGTTTGGTATTTCTAAAAAATGATGATCGTACTTTGATCACAACAGACCGTACTTAGACTCACATACCCGTAGCATTTGATATTCTGTTAGGACATCTTGCATAGATATCAAAGACATGCTGAACTGGTGCCTTTTGTTGTTTCCAAGGAAGATACAGGTTGCTTTCATTACCAGAGTGTAACCTAAACAGCAGATGTTTGTATTGCTCATTTCTGGATCATACATCCATAATTTTATAAAGATATTTCCATGCAACGTTATACCCCTTTTTGAGACTTCTGAAATTGTCATGCTGTTTTGGATGGTTGTCAGAGAACCTTTACCATGATTACATAAGTAAGCACTCGTCACCACTCACCCCTTTCCGTAACCTGCAAGAAGACTCGTCCCCCTATCGATGAATGTTATGTGCGAAAATACGACAAACCAATCAGAATGCGCGTATGATTTCAAGTACTCCGTCAAAGAATCCCTCAGAAATAATTTTTGATTTTACATATGTCTTGCATCTAAAAATATACCCGAGACACAGTTAAATGTGTTCAATCATACTGTATAATTCCGCACGTCCCGATGTGCTTTAAATTTCATCTGAAATATATATAATATATGGGGAAATATATGTGAACCATTACGCAACGAATTGACAATTGTTTTAGGTGTGGCCGTTTGCGCTAAGACGGAACCCGGTCGCAAAAATGGCCACGAGTGGGGCACGAGTCGCTATTCGGCTTGTCCCGGAATAACACGAGTTGGTCACGAATGATAAGTAAGGTGTATATTACTTGACAAAAGACCAATTAATGCGGGACCCGAACCAGCCAACTTCCTCACAGTAAATTAATGCGGAATTATTTCACGTCAAACGAAAGTAGTATACTCACGTTGAACACAGGTGTCCGTTAACCACCCTGCTGCACATCCGCCTGGACAGTAGCCTGTGGCCTTGTTACAATAGGCAGCGTTGCGGCAGTTTCCACACTTGGAGGTGCAGTTTCCATAGAAACCGTCTGGACATACTGTACATGATTGTAAAGTAATCAATCGGTCAGCTGTATCATATATTAGACACAACAATTACATAAATGCAGTATATCATTACGTATCTATGATGATATATCCTAGAAACATCATAGGTACATACTAAGTAGGCAAATGTTAGCACCAAATGCCTTGCACTTACCAAATATGTCCTCACGCTGGGATTACGTATCAGAACTGGCGTAAATTAGTTAATTAGTAATAAATTAAACGCTGAACTTCATAAGGTTAAAGGGACACATGGGGGTTAAATATCATGAAAGGGTCAGCAATAAGAAGGTGTTACTTATGGAATATACGATGCACGTTCACTTTTGTCCATTTCCAAGACACTGATCGCTGCTTATTTTACTGACTTGTCCCTGCGAAACAGTTTGCTCAACTGACTCAAGGTTTTGTGGATATACCTCTATGACATCATGTATATTCACAAGAAAAGATTATCATTACGCAATTCCGTGTATGTGAGGATCAAAAGTTGTACCTGATTGGCAATTGATTCCCATGTACCCTGGAGCACATCCACTCAGACACTGTCCAGTGATCTTGTCGCACACTTCTGTGTTTTGTGAACAGTGACACTGTTTGTCACAGTCCTCATCAAACCAGCCATCGCTGCAAACTGAAATTTAACATGATAAAAGTAGAAGCTTATTCAAATCTCATTTCATGATTCATGAATAACAAAATAAAATCAACAAAACATTTAGGTGAAATCGGGAGGACAATCTGCAATTAAATGTGAAGTATATCTATCCGTTCTACTGTTTCCTTTCGAGCGCTTATTTAGAGACCTAGTTTCTGTAATGTCATTTACACAAATAGCTTTGTCCAGCCTCGTGCGAGAGATCTCGGGTGCCACAAGAAGCTGCTAATCGGGAGTTTGAACGTTTTGTCTATCAGCAATTGTCTCACCACATACTTCAAAATATGTAACCAGGCTAACTTCGGATGTTTCTCACACATTGAACAGACATACTGTTATACTACTTAAATAGAATTCACAGCAACGTTAAAACCCAAATGTTTCATTCACACGATCAATGGTGTATATGAACCTACCAAATATCTGCACCTCGCATAGCGCGAGATAATCGCTTGTCTGTATAGTGAGTGTGTTTCCAGTCAGTGGTTGTTGACATCTGACGTCAGCTGTAGCAGGCGGATAGGTATTGGTTTGCCACTGGGTGCACAGCTGTCCACCGACGAATATCTTCATGCCTTGGTTTCTTGCTAGAACTGCATTTCAATGGGAAAATGTGCAGTGCTTTGACGGCTAGGTGTTCACAAATCACCAGATCGATTAGCGCCATGTTAAATGGTACAGCATGTTATGGCATACACAAACACAATTCCTAAAAGACGTACATTACAGATGTTACCAGAGATATGGGTGATTATGCCTGATGACCCCAACGTAGCTGTACTGACAATATTCAGAAAACACCTGTTATTAAGCAGAACATCCACCAGCGATACATTTTAGTTTGTTAATAACTTAGTAATGTGAGGTTATGTGTTGTTCAACATGCTACATTTTATTGATCAGTTTCGTATGAAATTAAACAAAAACAACATTGATATTGTGCCACCCATTCTCACACTTATCACGTAGATACAGCCTGATGCGTTGTATTCTGTCTGTGTTGGAGGTGTTCAGGTACACTGTCCATGTGTGGACTCCCCCGTATGTATGTGTACATGTCAATGGTTTACTATAGAAGTCGTTGGTAGCTCTGCCATCTACAGCATATTTGGCCTCGAAATCGTGTGGTGTATTCCCTGTCAAGTAGGCGTTTTCAACGTAGGTACTGCTCTGGTTGGCACTTCTTCCTAAAGCAATATTTTCTGAAGAAAAAGAAACAGTGTACAACACCATACAGATAAGACAATGGTGGAAACAATGCCAGAAGGTTCAGGTGTGACAACAGCTAATGTATGGCCGTGTAATGTATGGTGAGTGATTTCTCTGTATGTACTGCTCTGGTTGGCACTTCTTCCTATTAAAGCAATATTTTCTGAAGAGAGAGAAACCATGTACAACAACATATACACATCAGAAATGGTGGAAACAGTGCCAGAAGGTTCATGTGTGGCCGTGCACAATATTATAACACTTAAAAAGATGCTACAGATCCAACAAGGACAATGATTTCTCCAGTGATTGGTTAAATTTAAACCGGAACGGGTACAATCACCTTGCTCGTGTACTGGTCTGCATAACAGGAAGGCAAAAACAAATGCAAATCCCGAATACTCACGTCTCTGGCAGTAGGAACCAAACCATCCCTGTTGACATCTGCCTGGACTACCGACCTGGCTACAGGGAGTGGATGGGAACAGGGAACAGGCAGTCACAGTGTCACAATGGCACTCGGCATCTAAAGAGATGTTGTTGTTTTTGTACAATGTAGAGACTTTTACATATCAAAGAGACAGGAGAGAATGGAGAGGGAATAGATGTTTTTCGTGATCCTGTCAGTGTACGAATATCTACTTTTACACATAAAATAGACAATTGATAATGTAGATGTAGATTCACCTTTCTACTTCATATCAAGACTACCCAGCCAGGGTGACAATTACCATATAAAACATAGCATTACATGCATAGTTGATACGAAAGATAATATGTAAATAACATCATTAAACATTATACCAACCAGTGAGTGTCCCAGTGATGGAGATCAACAGCACCCCAGACAATAACCATGCCATTTCGTCTTAGGTCTGTGTATTGGGAGAATGATAAAACGAAATAGAGACTTGCGTTCATTCTACAACTATTCATATTTCATTTACCGACATGCATGAATATCAACCACACATACTTATAGAGGACATGCTACGTGCCTATAACACGTTCTACTTTCAACTGGGACAACCTTTGTAGCTGGGAATCTCACAAATATACAAGTTTGCCCTGACATTTGATACAACCATGTTTCTCGATCCCATCGAAACAACGTCTCAGTAAAAAATAACCTGCCAGAAACATTATAAATGTACAAGACTTTGGATGCCTGGAGCAAGTTCTACCTGTCGAGATGATCTAGAACAGGCCTATAACATATCTCTATGCCGGAAACGTTCACCCAGTTTCCGTGTGGCGAGATATTAGCACATTTGGACAGGGTTTCAATTTTAACAATATCTGCATGTTTTCATGTGCAAATCTACTTCATTATAAAATGAAATTGCAATATTATAGCTGTTACTTTGAAAAGATTAAAGTATGAAAAAGTATTAATAACCTTTACCACTGTAGATACATCAATGTCAACAGTACCATGTTGTTGTTTTTCATAATGTTTGTTTTTAACTGTTATATTACATACATATTTCATTTAAATGTGCCATATTCTCATTCCTGCTTCTGAAGGTAACACATGTAAATTACAATTAGTTTTATCTTCTGATACAAGATGTTTTTCATGTTTTGAACTAAGAATTATTTTTACCTCAACATTTATTTAACTTAAAATTCATTCGTGGATTCTTTTAGAATTGGGGATACACATTATCTACCAAACGAAGAGGTGCAGTTCAAAGTTTGATGTCGATAAGTGTATTTTCTGAAACAATATTGCATTTTTCATGTTTTGAACTTAGAAATAAGTGTCGGTTGGGGGTATTAGTAAGCCCTGTTCACCTTTGGCCTTGTATATTTTTTAGAAATATATATGACGAACTGTATTCTTTTGACACCGCAAGGAAATGGCACTTTATGTTTTTTTCCTACAATTCGAGACATTCATTTCTTTTTCAGTAAAACAGGGGCTGGTTTTGATTAATTTCAGACTCCCGCATCCCTCTCCCACCCATCTCTAAGGTTGTATGTTATGTTTGTCCCGTCGGATCGAGGTAGTAGATGTTAAAAGTATGACGGTGTGTCATATTGCGTTTTCTCCTTAAACATGAAAAGGTCCGGTAGCGATCCTTGTGGTACACAAGCTATTACTTTAGTGTCAGACAGATTGTTAGCGAATTGTTAAGTAATCAGCCAGCCACTCCAGTAATCGTTAACTTTCAATTTATATATAACCCAACAATGCCATAATGACTGCATGGATCGGCAAAATAAAAAAATAGCATTTGGACGTGAAGTTTAACTAAAGCTTCAGGTATACCGACGGTCTGTTGTCGTTGTATAACTGTAAAATATCCAATTTCAACTGATTTACCCGTCTGAATCTGAAGTAAAAGACACCAGTGAAACTGGCTCAGCAGTTTGATATTTTGATCCATGCATAAAGATTCAATGACAAAACACTATCGACAAAAATGTATGACAAGAGGGATGACATTAAATTTCCGATAGTAAGCTTTCATTTTATGTCAGGCAATATTCCAGCCTGTGGTGTCTTGATTTGACATTCCTTTAGGTACAGCTGAGCATGCCCTTTCTGTGAAGATTCAAAGAGCGTCACACGCGTCATTCGTCTCTTGCTCCAAAGTAGTTTGATCAGGGTTACAACTTGAAAGGCTTAAGTTTTCAATGTGTTTTGTGGTAGACATGTGCGGGACATTTCCAAATTTGACACAGAAATGCCAAAATGATGTCCGTTACAATTCCGCATTATAAATGGCACCACATGTTCTCTTGTGTTTCAGGTGAATGATTAACTTGCATTTGCATGTGTTTGTGACGGTGCCATGAATGGGGCGGCGTTGTGTATCTCAAACCGATTCGTAGGTTTCAGCATATAACAGTTACATTGAGTCATAATTCCTTTACTTACTCAAACACGTATGTACGCGACTTTAACATCTTTACATTCTGTTTTATATAGGACCACATGCATTCAAATGCCAAACATAAACACTCAGATTCACTCATCATATCTGTACAGGTTCAAACTGTATTTTCACTGAAAATATTTGGGGAATCGTGAAGGACAATATCAATCACTGATGTGCAAAACATATATGTGATATGAAAACAGAGCTGGTGAGATATTGGGAAAGCATGACTCATGCTTTTCTAACTTCCTTGACAGGCAGAATGCCTCGCCGCATTAAAACCTGTATTTGGAAGAGTGGTTGTCTGACAAAATATTGAATAGTTTGCTGTTTTTGTTGCTTTAGGTAAGCAGTGTTTTCTTGGAAAAAACATGTATCTTGGCCTATGACATAATACATCTATAATTTACAATGTTCTCATTCTCAATCATTTCTCGCCAAACTATAAAATTGTTTTGTGTACATAATCACATACAACTGAGTAATATGCTAGTTATCGGATATTATCGCAGACATGATCTACATATTAATCACATGAGGAGCTAAAACTCCCATATATACCAGAAGTGAGGCGTGGTGAAAAAGGGATTTCATCTCCCGTTCGAGATTATTGCATTTACAAAGAGCGCGCGTGCGTGCGTGCTTGCGTGCGTGCGTGCGTGCGTGCGTTCGTGTGTGCTTGTACTAGACCGGACTAATGCCGATTTTATAGTGCTTGCCCACTGAGATACGATGCCTCAGTTGAACAATATACAATATACTAAGAAGATACAGTATACTGACTCCGAGGCGACCAGTCCTTGTTTTAGCACCTTAATGCCGAGCGCCAGACAGGGTCTCAACAACCACCATCTGTTCATGTCTTTTGGTATGACCCATCCGGGGATCGAACACCCGACCTTCCGCCTTCCGGGCAGCCGCTCCACCACTAAACCACGGAGGCAGTGACCAGCAAGTGAACTGAGTCATATAATCGAGGAATTGTGTTTGTGACTTCCCTGCATGATCTGTGCAAACATTGTTTGCTTTTGGCTTGATTGTTAGATAGTCTCTCTAGGGTACACATGTTTTCTGGTATTTTAATGATAATCATTGTGTGAGCGTTTTTTCACACAGAATAAAGGTTACAATGTTACAATGGGCCGATTTGATGTGGCACTTCGCTTGGTTGACACGCCTTTCTGTACCGTCCAGCAGTACTAACCATCAACAAAATCAACACTGACATTGAGATTATGCACCACATCGTTGGCTCGTTTAAGAAAACTGTGGAATGCCTCGTTTTCATCATGAGTCTTGACATGCTTCACAAGAGGATCATCAGACAAATAAATGTGTGCAAATGTTCAAAATACAATTCTATCATGAAGATCCTCCACGTAAATCAAACCACGCCCCCCATTATGATTGGTAAATATAAGCAATTGAAGGAAGAGCGAGGGTGGTGGGAGCTATTATTCGTGTGAGGGTGTCAATTCCCAAAACACAAAAAGAATACCAAAGCACGAGTGCAACATAAGTATTTGTGGCTTTGACTTTATTGCAAGCGTTCAGCTCTAGATCTGAACTCCAGTTTTTCTTAAGTCTACATTTCTATTCCAAGTATTTGTGGCTTTGAAGTAGTAGCAGTAGCAGTAGCAGCAGTAGCTGTAGTAGCTGTAGTAGTAGTAGTTGTTGTTCTGATGGGGGCGAGAGGCTCTAGGGGGGGGGGGGGGGGGGGGGGGGGGGGGCTATGGTCTCATATTAGTGTAGATGAAAAGTCAAAGATGAAAACATTATCAAAGAAGTCAAATGCACATATTTGAATGGATCTCCCAACACATAGTGGAGCTATTTTGGCAAGGGGTAGTTAATGTGTTGATGTGAGTTCATAAACAACCAACACTCAGATGTCAATCTGTATACGACCGTTATGTTCGTGGTCACGTTTATTCTGTAGCCCCTAGGTTCTCTTCCTTTTACGTACAGGGATCTTTACATTGTAAGTTTTAAAGTAAGTAATGCATATTTTAATGAACACGGTAGTTTAGTTTAGCAGAAATATGTACTACACAACTGGTCATTTTTTCTAATGGGTAATGATTTAATTATTCCCATTTGATTAATCTTGTGTATGCTTTTTGTTAACTCATACAGACACGTAATTTCAATTATCATATAATGGGTAGGTTTCTCGGCAGGATAAAGCCAACGGATAAAAACGATAACCGTTGGGGTCATATGCGGATAGAGATGCAAATATCAAAGGTCAAGAAGGGACTACTTTCACTGTTTATAAACAAACATGGCGTCGCCCTCGTCATTCGGCGATCAAATCAGAATTAACCATCGGGAATCTGGATAAACTACAGGGATAATTGCTATCATTATCAAAAGAACAGTCTAATATACTGAATATCAGTGTCTAACTGTGACGTAGCTAAGGCATTTTAAACGTTTTGGCAACTTTGGAGATATGAATTTCGAAACAATTTTGCGAGGGCACTAGGCCTAGCCAAGCGGGATTAGTAGCCATATCTGTGCTTCTTGACCTCAGCGGCTTGAAACCTTCTCCACAAATTAAAATAGTTGGATTTGGCCGAAATATGTTTGAATTGTTACCTTGTTTGGTTTTGTCGCTGTGTGTACATCTGACTACACTTCTTAACGTTATGACAGGACAGACCGTGGCCGTGACGTCTCATAGACTAGGGTTAGAGTAGCTTCCCTTTGACAAAGGGCAGTTACTCTAGCGGACAGAACGATGGATTGCCGCGAAAGGCAATTAAAAACAATCGTTGTTTTTCGTATATGTTGCTTCGCCACTGTATAAGAAACAGATTTCAGTTGGAACTCTATTGGCTACTGTCACTGTCCCACTGACACATCACTTACCCTGTGACGTAATCAATATTAATGCGCGCATTCCAGGAAAACTCTCAATGTTTCGGTAATGTTTGT